GCGTATTGGTTTTTTTTAAAGTATGCGACACATAATTTTCAATTTTATTATTCAAAACGTTTTTTCGATCTTCAACTCATTGTACTTATTAATTTCTGGAATATATGACAGTATCGATTGCATTTTTTGGGCTTAATTAAAATTTAATTTATTGCAATCCTTCAATTATTCGTGATTATTTCTATTGAACTGAATCAGTTATTCGTTGGAAGATGAGATAAGATGGGATAAACTTGAGAAAAATTACGCAGCATGCACTGCAGCACAGTTGCATTTCAGAGTATAAAAACTGCACGCATGCAACAGCTACTGCCTTACCCGGTTACTTTTTGATTCTCGTTTTTGTCTTGCTTTTCCTTATGGTTTGTTTGACATGCGTTAATGAGAATCATTTACTGTTCCCGGTTCTGGAAATCACCGGCTAAGGTTGGATTCTATAATTACCCAATTTCCTAAATATCATATTAATGGTTCACTACTTCACTGAATTCTCGTATATTGTCAACGTTTCAACATTATGAATTTTGCGTTTCCTTGTCGCTTTCAGAAGTAACAAACTGAGAACTCATCCGGAATGTTCAGAAATAGCAAACTGAGGACACATTCAGAATTCTGAGAAACACCAAAGTGAGAACACATCCGGAATCTCCTTGCCACTAATATAATATTAAGAAGTTGGAGTAAAAAATGAATTATAACGATTGATCACAAGGAGACGCGTGACGTATGAGGCCAAGCGAAGCTGAACTATATTTGGGTTGCTGTTGTACACATTTTCCATACTGTGATTGCTTTTGGAGCGTGCGTGTTTTTTCTCGTGTGCCAGGAGATTCGGATAAGTTATCCCGGGGTATCGAGGAAGTAGGGGAGTTGCATGGGTTTATGCGAAGCAAATATCCATTCAGGGATTCGTTATTTTATCGAGGATTTCTAGGTGAATAATGGGAGAAATAGTGCAAGAAGAGAGCAATAAACAAGAAGAAATATTCATTACGGAAGAGGATGAAGATGCAGATGATGAACAGAGACTGGTGATCTCTGATGATAAACACACCGACTCACCGTTCTCATCAGCTGTACGTTTAATCAGTGCTGTAATGGTTTCTTGTCATAATTTTTAAGATTATTAGGTGATGATTTGGCTTTATTTCTTCATCATTGATAAGAATTATGATGACTGTGTAGTAATATTAGGGATTTATTATGTTGTCATTGGTATGGTTATTTCCTTCAATGTTTTAAAACTGATTATTTGATCTTGTCACCTTGATCACACCAACATTTGTTTGGTAGTAATTGACTGAGTGCCATATCATAAGATGTGCTTAGTAAAATTGTTTAGTTCGGTTATTTGAGATTTTACCACCAGAAAATTTTTTTGAGATATCTGACTTTGGCTTCATTGTGGTTTTTTTTTTTTCTAATATTTAACTGTTTTGTCATTGCTCAATATGGATGTAAGAGGGAAGATAATCGGGATATAATGAATGTAATGGAATGTGAAATAAAGTTTATGATATAAAAGTTACGAACACGAAAATTCATTCCTTTGAAACATCTAATTTTTAATCTTATTAATTGTTTTGAAATTCTCATAGGACGAGGATGCAATGGATGATTCGCCGCCAGATTCAAAGCAGGTAATAATGAATGATGATGGGAAAAGTATTCCGATTGTGCAGTCATCTCGAAAGGTATACCATAATGAATTTTCGAACTTCTTTTTACAAATAGAGCTTCGCACATCAGATCCATAAAATGAGAGAATTAAGATTTTGAAGTATCTTTCAGGAAATTGCATCAAAAACTACGGATATCGTGTTTTCCTGGCAAGAATATCTGAAGGAAACTGAAGCTGTTTCTGCACCGGAGGATTGCTTTTATCAAGACCCTATACCACCTAAAAATAATTTTATTATTGGCAAAAAGGTGGTAGTGCCAGATCCAAGAGGTTTTTTATTTGCATTCTTCGATAGTGGGAATTTTTTCATTTTTGAATCGTCATTTTTCAAAGGATGTTTTACGGACATCCTCATTTTTATTACTTGGGAGCATAAATGAACCCAAGAAGCTTGGAGAGATGGAAGTACAATAAAGGATTAATATGAAAACCAGATTGAAGGTGACGGGAATTTTTCAATTTATTTGTACTTGCAAACAAAATTGAAGGGAAGGAAGTGCAATGCTTATCAACAATCGTTGCGGTTCATTCACTTTGGGTATGTCTTCGACTCGATGGCGAAGATGGAAGTAATGACCACTGGCTTATATGTGATGACGAACGAATCAAACCGGTTGGGTAGGTACATTTCTTTACCTTATTCCTCATAAATGCTGTGTTTCTGTGCAAACATGAAATCTATCAATAGGATTAGATCTAGTTCCTTTTGAAGAAAGAAAAATGGAAGAACTCGAAAAAAGGCATTCTGATCTATGCTGAAGAAAAAGAAATCATATATGGACTGCGTTTGAGTAGTAATTCAGTCGAGAAAAGCTGTCTTGTGCTACCGTTTAAAATGAATGGAAATTAGTCGCTTATATTTGACGAATAGCGAATATACTTTGTAATTTGTGTCAATTTTTAATTTATTTCAGAGAATGCGAAAGAAATGGTCTAGTTTTGCAGCCTCCATTTGGTTTTATGTATAACTTAGCCTCGTTTCACAAATTCATTGAAAATCAGTTAAAACCCACGGCAGACGGTAGCATTCCAATTGCATCTTCAGAATGTTTCAAACCGGTATATAAGTTTTTTGAATTGGCTGTTCTCATTTATTCATCAGATGTTGTTCGAATTGTTTTGTTTTTTTTTCTCCCTACATTTTTAACAATCACACTTTGCGAGTAACGCGTTAATAGTTATGCGTTATTGAATCTTAATGTGATTACAGATTTCGTTCAAATACCATCCAAGGAAGAATACATTTCAAGTGGGTATGAAATGTGAGGCAATTGATCGCAAGAATTTCAACGGTCGACCATGTCCGGCAACTGTGGTTGATATAAAGGGCGATTATCTAACAATCAGTTATGACGGTTGGAATAAAGCTTATGATAGTAGGGAACGTTATGACAGTCGCTTCATTTTTCCAGTTGGATGGGCTGCTAAATGTGGCCTTGAAGTGCAACCACCGAATCGTATAAGAGGTATACTCTCGATTTTTATTGCTGAGTGGCAGTGTGATTTATTCATCGGCTTGTAGCTTTATTTTGTACACATTTCTGCTTTTTCTTTCGGGGTTTTGGAATTTCAAAAAAAAAAGAATGGAAGGTTGGGCGGAAAATACCGTTCATCTTACCCGATCACTGCATTAGTTACAGTCGATGAAAATTAGCGTCGATTTACGGATCATTGTGTCAGAGTTGGTGCAGTAATCGCACTGCGATCTATAGAGTTGTGATCTAGAAATGTCATCGTTCAAGCTAATAGATTTATTGCTCAAGCTATCAATTTTTTGCAGGGAAAGTTCTGCAACGAATAGTACAAAAAGACACGTTGCCGAAAGCTCCGAAGGTCACTGCTTCGGAGAAATGTATGTTTCTTTTCGTTGATTTTTAATTATTATGAAGATTTCCATTTAGTTTTGTATTGCACTTAACTGGTTAGCCTGTACCAAACAAAAAATATAAAAATCAGAAATTCAGTATCACGTAATCAAAGGAAAAATATTCGTAAAGAAATTTACAAAATTTGTTTGAGAATTTTGACACTTTATAAATTTCAGCGAAAAAGGGCAAAAGGAAATCAGCAGACACGAAAAACGGTTCTCAGCGAAAACGAAATCGAAAGCGGAAGCGAAGTTTTCCGATTCCCGATCCTCATCATAACTCTTCAGATGGTTCTTGCTCATCTCATTTACTTGATATAATTGATCAGGTACGCATGTGATAAGTGGTTTTCACTTTCTTTTTTTTTATCAAATTATATGATATTTTGCTGGCACAGACTGAAAGGTATTTAACCAAAGGCAGTTACTATACAGTATTATAGTTTCTCCTATTAGATGCTGTTTTTTTCTTTTTCACACAGTAGAGTGAAATTTTGTAGATCGCTAAACAAACGCATACGATGGAGGCAAGTTCTGCTAGTGGTGCATCGGACCAGCAGATAGTGACCAGTGCAGTGGATGCAGTTGCAATTCTAGACGGTCATATTAGCGGACTTATATGAATTTATTTCATAAATTTGCCAGAATCTTCATTATAGTTTTATTTGCACACTTAATTTGTTTCTGAGCAACTCTTTTTTTCCAGAACCTCGTGCACGAAAAACGGTGCCCTCGCCAGTTCTTCCGGGAGGCTCAGTTATGAGGCAGTCTCGAAAGGTGATCTGAAAAACATGGTTTCATGTTCTCTTTGAGCTTTCTTGATTTTGCTGCATACATAAACGCAAGAAGTTACTTTTAGGCTGTTCCCTCTCCAGGTGGTATGCAAAATGCGCTCACTGCTCCAGATGTTATTCTCTCAACGACTGATATGCAGCCAGAAGTCTATAAAAGTTAAAACTGTTTCTTTAATTAAGTGAAAAATTGTATTCCTACCTAGCCAAACTTCTTGATTCCTTTGAAATATTGAGGAACTGTTCTTTTTTTTTCGTTGTAAATTGAAAGTTTTTTTCAGTGACTGTTTACTTAAATCGAGGTTGTCGATGTACACCCATTCTAAACGCTTCACTCGTTCGTAAATTGCCGGAGAAATTTGGACCTGGCACTTTGCATCATATTTTAAGGGAAACAGTGCAACAAATCATAAATTGTGCCGTTGATCCCTCTTTTGTGTTTAAAAAAATTGATCCTGGAAATCTAAGGATTTTATCTGTTACTGGTAAAAAATTTTCTATTTCTACTTAATCAGTATGTAGTGAACATTTTGTATTTTTTCTAGTGCTGTTATAGATTTTGTCCATTGTAGCTGTCTGGTGCTTTCATGGTCACGCGGAACACATTCCTGGCGCTCTTAAAATATGTCAAAGAGAGGGGAGAGTAACACCGGAAGTCTGACAAAGGGGACAGAATTGGGTGGAACATAATTCATGATTATCTCTTGAGCTTGCTTGGCAAAAAATTTCATTTTCGAAATCACAACTGTCTGAGAGGATTGGATAGTCTAAGAATCGATTGTAATATAGCATGGCTTCTCTTTTTTCCATAATTTTTAGCTGAAATCCACGGAGTGACACATGTGCGTGCTATACCGGCACTGAAGACTCTTGCCTCTGCATGGGATTACTTGCATGCTTTTATTTCAAAATTAAATGTGTGTCGGAACTTTTTGACGGAAGAACCGATCTGTTGTTCATTATGTTCTTGCCCCAGTGATGATGGAGTTGTGAGTACTACCGCAGGTCAGTATATCCTTGGCATCTTTGTTTTAGACAGAATTAAGACTGTAATCGGATTACTTTTTTATTTTAATTGCTAGCATACAGTTTGAAGTTCAAAGAATTCGTTGTTATAGGTGGCGGTGTACTGAAATGCGGTACCGAGAGTGATGATTCTGAAGACTACGAAGGTTTGCTAGTTCTCATACAGCAGTTTCTTTAAAAAATTTTCAAAGTGAAATTTTGTCATCATTCTCGGTTTAAACCATGCATTTAGTTCCTAATTCTTGTTTGTCTCATCCTTGGGGGATGAATTTCAGTTAAGAAGAAATTCGTAAGTCCTTTATACACTAATTATGAAAATATCACGAATATACCTTTATTTTTCAGGTCATCAGTACTCAGATTTAGCAGAGTGGTCCATGCAGCGTGTTGCAAATGAAATTGAAAATATGTTTGATGCAAGTATTGCGGAAAAATTCTTGCAAAATGTAAAGCATTTTTCCTAAGGAATTTAAATTATCTAAGAGTATATTACTAATTTTTCTTTATTTGCTGTTGTCTTTTTTAAATATTTTTAAAAAATAATATTCGCGACACGAATTCAAATATTGAACAGGTAAGGCAAAGGGAATCAATATATCGTTCTTTATCGTTTATTTCTGATTCGTAATCTACTGAGAAGGATGTAATGACATAATTTCGCAATTAGATTAAGCAGGAAATGATGTAATTCTTTTTTCCAGCAAATTGATGGCAAAGCGTTAATTTTATTAACAACTGAACTATTGATACGACATCTGGAGATGCCATTTGGTCCGGCTTTGAAAATGATGTCATACATTGAATCACTGAAGCGCAAAGCATGGCGCACAACCTCTCATAGTACAAAATAAGTATTGTTTTTTCTTCATTGTTGGCATTTTTGATTTCTATTGGAAGATTCCGTTCTGTTTTATAAATATTGTAATTTTACAGTAGATACCTCATATCCGGGGGTTAATTACGCGATTTGGTTGCGCATGAAGTAATCTGACAAACAGCAAAAAAACTATATTTCCAGGACAGCTAGTTTTTAAAATTACTGTCTTCCTCTTATGACTTCCAGATATCCACTTCAGAAGTTGACATGTTGATACTGTGTGTTTGTTTTATTCTTTCGAATGGATTGACCTTATATTTGTTTCAATTTTTGAAGTAACCACCTGTTTTTTTAGTTCCGAATTCTGGAAATTAAAAGGCATAGTGTGTTCTCGCAACTTAGATTGAAAAAGTAAGGCTTCCAGTTGTCTGTACGAAACTTCCTTTATTTGCGGTTTCCTTAATTTTTACAGAAGTCCAATTTGAAATGCGCAAGATATTTATTCTGCTCGTCTCTTTATAAATTCATGATCAGTAATGGAAAATTGGTGTGTTAGATGTTTGTACAGTAGTAATTCATAACTCGCTACTTCTCGCTAGGCCGCCTTATTTGTCAATGTAAATTTCTTTTGCGCAATCAACTGGACATATCTCGCATTGAATGTATATTGCAAATAACTCTCAGGCGAGGTTAGTAGTCTAGCTACTAAACCTACACATTTTATATTTCAACGTTTACTGCCCATTCAAATCACCAAATGTTTTATTTGCTAGTACTTTATAGTGTTTTTCGATTTCTTTGAATTGCAAATATGGCTTGTTCATTCGACGTTGACATTTCACACCTTGGTGGTAGGGATTGTGAGAATCTCGATCTTGACTTTATATGCTTCACAAACTTTCTCCATTTTAGTAACCATTGTCGTTGAGTAGTTACCGTTACTCTGTGAATATTTTTGTCGAATACCACCATATACGTATATATATATATATATATATATGACTTCCGTAGAAATTTTTGCAGCATACTGACCCATAAAGCCACCTATAATTGAAATTTGAAGCATTACTGTTGTAAAGATAATCATCCGCAGTTGATGGTTTTGCGTTCTGGAGATAACATTGTTCTGGTCGAAGTTTTTTATCTCTTCGTCTTTGGTCTTCACTTCTTTAACTCTTCCCTTCTTATTACCATAAAATATTGATTCATCCTTCTTTATGTTATGCATTTTTTTTTTTTTAGAAAAAGCTTCATGAATCAAATCTTATCAGAAATTTTGATTGAATATATTAGTATATGTACTGTAATTTCAGGTTGCTCTGCAGGGTTCCATCCCATTGTCTCTGTTTTTCTCCTTGTAACGCTCATATCTTTTTTATATTATCCCATTGTTTCTGAGCAATACTCTTCATTTGGTGCCGGGTTTATTTCACATTACATGTGATTGGTTGTTTTCACTCATCATGCTTGATGGCTTTCACGATAGCGACATTCATCAGCAATTTTTGTCATCAATTAGAAGTGACATGTTAAAACCAACCGTATTAAAACCATTTTAGATTATCCATTATCTTTTTGTCAATTTGTGGCTTCATTATTGTTTTCCATGTCACAGAATCAGTAAAAATTTTTTGTTAATATTTTTAGGGTATTCCGAAGTTCAGTAAGAATTAAATTTAAAAAAGTGAGGTCCAATACCAAACCGTATCGTCTATCCTTTGCTGCCGAAAAGTGGGCAAGAGCAAGTTGAAGTTTCATTTAGAGTGGACTTTTAAGGAGGCGTTTAAATCCCTCCTCTATTACAGTAATATCAATACTCTTGGTCATAATCAGTACCACTAAAACAATGCAGGGGACAATGAAAGCATGGTAGGAAGTCAGTTGTTGCAACTGATATCGCATATGTTGGATCGCTTTTTAGGGTGAACTTCGTCTCTCATAATTTTAAAAATCAGTCATAACTTTGCAGAGAATGAACAAAGATTGAACAGATCAGCAATTGCATTCAATATTATGATGTTATGAGAACGTTGCACTAATTTTGCTTTGTGAGGGCGAAATTTCTTGCTAATCTGTTTTGATCATTCGATTTTTTAACAGTTTTAAGTTTTCCTCAACATTCTTGTAATCTAATTGCTATTCATTGAAATTTTTACATCCAAAATTCCAACCAACTATTCTCGTTCATTCATACAACTAGCAAAAGAAAGGTATTTTCACTTCTAGCATTTTGTTTCCTTCCTGAATATTTAATTTTGGTCTACTACTGCAAAGTAATTCGTGTAATGTAATCCATATGTCCGTCCATTTTCCATTTTCTTTGACTTTCCTGAAGCTATTCTCGGTAGTTTTTTTTTCTAAAAACGGGCAACTCTATCAGTCTACTGCAACGTAACGTTCTGAATGCATACTGTACTATCGGTTACATATTCGTTTTATGTAATAAAATCATGTTATTTTGAGAATTATAACGAATTGCTGGAAATAGTATTCTTTTGAAAAAAAAAAGTGAATAAAAATAACTGCACAAACAAATAAGCATACAGATCCATATAGCGCTTTTGTGATAGAAATTATACCTTATTTTTTTAAATAAACCAAAAAATCCTAAAAAGTATGATTTCCTTCATTTACTTTGGGAAAGTACTCGGAGAGATAACTCTCTTCAAAACTACCAATCTAAAGTGAGTGGGAGAAGCATACTTTTAAAATAATTTGATACCTGAGGCTTTAACTTTTCTAGACTTTTTTAGCTCTGAATTTGGAAAGAAATTTTCGATATGTCTTTTGAAATTATTGGACATTGATTGCTTTATTTCACATTTACGCATTTCTCGACTGAGTAATTTTCAAAGTAGAAAAAGGACAAATAGATGGGAAATACAGGTAATACCGGATGTAATCTATTGCATACATATTGTAATTTTTCTATAAATTGCATGATTTCAATGTAATTTACAGAGATGGCCTTTTTATTGTTACCGATTTTAAGATTGATGGGGTGAACAGGTTACGTAAACTAGATCATTATGTAAATCTGTATGGAATTGAAAATACATTATAAAACATGTCCATTTTATAAACGGTAATCATTTAGCGAGATTTCGAAGATACCCGCATACTGATTGTCATTATCATGGCAAATAATACTCCACTACGACCACTTCGTGAGAAGCGGTAATGGCAATCATTTTATCAAGTTTGATTTTCAAAATTCATTTCTTGTTTGTTGTCTTAATTTTTATCTTATTCGTTGCGTTGGTGCTTTAGCCAAAGGTAAAACTATTGATTTCAATGTAAAATCAGAATAAAATAGAAAATTGTACTCCTATTTATGATGTTTTTAAATTACTTAACAGATTACTTAATTTTGATAAATTTTGGAAGTGTTAAGGGAATAGGATTAAGTGAAATTTATTCTGATTTCATTTTAGAAATTAATAGAATGCTTAGTTTATTTTATTTTTTCATTCGTGTTGTTTTTTTTCCTTTTTTTTTCAATTTAAACAAGATAGTTCAAAATAAAAGCTCATCAGATTAAATTATACAACAGTTCCCAAGATTTGAATACTCAATTTATAATTGTGATCCTTTTTTTTTCGACTGTATTAAATTTTTTTTCATATTTGTTTTCTATCAAAGTGTTGCTGCAAAACTTTCCAGAAATATTCGAGATTATGACCCGAGCATGGTTAGAATGGAGTTCAAAAGAATGTTATATCCGGTTAGTGAATGAAATTTGAAGTAGCATTCGTAGAAAGATCAAAGTTCCGAAATAATCATCTTCGTTCGAATGAAAATTTATTTCAGGATAAGTTTCGGAAACGATCAAAACAGCTGGAACTCTGGAAAGCGATAACATTAGCATCATATTATGAGAAGTTTATGAATTCCACAAGATTACATTGTGTCCGACAAGCTGTCATCTATATGAAAGAGCTTGATGCTGCAGCGAATCGAATTGATTCCACCATAAAGACTGTAATTAGTCTTTAACTGACCAGGAATTTGAAAAATTAAATCTATCGTATAAATTTGACAGTAAATTTAAATTATTTCACTGTTATGAGAATCGAAAATCTGACAATTTTTATTTTTACAATGATATTTATCTTAATTTTGCCTGCATCTAATTGCTATCCCAATTTTCTATTTTAGCAAATAGTTTATGACCTTGTAGAAAAGATTTCATACGTGCCGATGCTAAATAAGTATTGTTTAAAATTCAAGTCGCTTATTTGAAGTTTTCGGTCCAAAATCAATGATCCGGAGTTGGATATATTTGTTTCCCCTCATCTTTTCATGTATTGCGGAAGATAGCTCTATTTCGATAATTAAGATTAGATAATGAGAAACGATTTTATGAATTACTGAGTAATTTTTTTAGTGAAAAAAATTCTCCAATTCTTTAGCTTGATCAGATTACCGATGAAGCTGATAATGAAATTGGTTGCTGTGCAGC